ATTTCTTGTCAAAGATCCTGAGTTCTTAATAATTAGACATTGCATCTGCTAAAATAATTTAAAAACGTTACCCCCTCAATTTATATTATTGTGATTTGTACAATACGAACGTTAAGCCAAACCAATTGTTCGATCAATTTTTTAATAAATTTTCTTTCGAATAAACATAGTTAAGCTTTTAGAGTACGGCCGATCGTGCTGCCCGTATGGTGGGCACCGTCTACAGGATGGTGGCTGGTACGCAGCACTTCGGATGGGGTACCGCCAACACTGAAAAACCTCAAACTTCAGACTATCTCGCAGCTCAATCTTCGCCAGCTGTGCAGGTACTTAACCACCGACATTGACATTATGTAATGGATAAGTTAAATAAATTTGGTTTATTTTTTGATTTAACTTCAGCCTCTTTTTTAATAAATAGAAAAGTACCAAATTTATTTCACTTATTCTAGATTTTTGTATACCTAGAGTATACACACTATATTGTATCACCATCATTAACTATACGCTTCCTGCATGTTTATTACTAACTAGGGTGTCTTCAGGGAGATGATTATGAGGCTATGGCCCTCCCGAAATTAAAATACTTGCAATCCTTGAGCATTTTATTAAAAAAAAACAAGCTTGAAAGGGAATGGTCCTCTCCGATAATTTAGTCTGGGGCCGCCCTTGGTTTCTAACTTTGCTGCTTGGTTTTTATGTTTAACTGCTTTTATTTGTTCTTGCTTATAACTTTAGCATCACCAAACTTCATCTATTAATATTGCTTCAGTAGAAAAAATTGTATGTATGTATAGCTTTGAAATTAAGGTGAAATAAATCATATTATCATAATACTAATTACAAAATCATTAAAAACGCTAACACTTTAAGTAAGGGTAGGTTTCACAATAAAACAAAACTATGTAAATAAAATAGTGCTTGAAATTTTTCAGGTTAAGATTGTATATAAATTTTTTGATTAGTACCAGTCAACCTTTTTGAAAAATACAATGTCTACAAGTAAGTATAAAAATCCAAATTTAGGTTTAGTTATTTATGTAAGTAAAAAGTGTGTCTTATTGGGAAAAAAATAATAAATAAAATATAAATTTATTTATACCAGTGGTCGCCAACCTCTCAATGTGTTGAGCTACTTTGTTAATTTTGGAATAAACAGCGAGCTACCCACACGGAAGCCACGTAACGCAACGTAAATGAAGTAATCCACAGTTAATTTATCATTATACCTATGTATTTATTTTACTATTTAACTGGTAATACATAATACATAGGTACTAATAATAAACTAATAACAAAATAACTAATATTACTAGTACGTACTTGTTCATAGCTACATTCCTACCTACCAAACGAAGGTATTTGAAAAATAAACACAAACTTTTATCCAGCCACAACGGCATGTCACGTAAGATTTAAAAATAGTTAATAATAACAACAAAAAAGTAACGCACTATCATGAACATAAACATTGAAAAATAAAAAAGCACGTTCAATTAGAAGGCTGACACTCAGACTCATCATTTTTTTAATGTTTGCACTA